TCTCACCGGTGGCTGTTGTCAAGCGCCTTTTTTCGTTTTCGATTAGCATCGGCTTAGTGGTGGCAATAGCCAACACAGAGAATCAAGCCATCCATGTTGCAGAAGCCTCTCGACTCGCAAGCCTTGATATTAGGCTCGAAAAGGGGACTCCATGCTGCACTGGTCTTTTTGTGCCTTCTTCGTGGCCGTAGCATCAGAACGACGAATGCAGGCATCTTCTGGTTGATTGCCCTGTTAAGACGGTTCTGCCATTGGTGACGGCGTTTGTGGACCTGCCGTTGGACACCAACGTTGAGATCTTTCTATTCGGAGACGCGTTCTGCTGCACCAAAATACGTTCGTCTGATGGTATGGCTCTTGTGCGGCGCCCTATATCGCAGGTCGTCCCTGTTTTTCTCAGCCTACTTGCTAACTTCTGCTCAAGACCGTTTCATTCGCTGAACTATTATTTCTGTCTTTCTTTATACTTACCTTCACCGGTCGCCGTGCCAGTTACCTTAAGACTCAGCCAGACAACGAAGTTTCCAGGGCATGGAAACTGCTTGACGAAAGAAACATGTGCCATACACGTGAAGAACCCGAATAGGGCGAACGACAGAGCAATTCACTCTTGCACCGAATTAGATAATAGTACAAGCGTATAATTATATACAACATGCCATCGGTGCACTGCCTGCTATCACAAGCTATTAAAGCTTAAGTGGAACTCAATTCAACCCGCTGAACCGGTGCAATTAGCAGCAAAAGGTGAATTTGTATTTCGCGCTTCTCCGTCACACACTTGTCACCGGTTGGGCCTAGGTAACATGAACTCGTGCAATGCTTACAGACAATTATGGCCACTGGCACCGCCAATAGCACAGCAGAGATGCATGCCTAGACATATGTGTACGTTGTACATTGGTCATAATGCTAATAGTAGTAAGGGAACAACCTGAGGATTCTCGAAATACGCCAGGTCAATCGCATAGGTCGACGTTTGTTGTCCTGCCGCTGCCGTTAATGCTCTTATTGCTTCTGCTGTTTTTTGTGTACCGTTAGTGTATTGGTAGATTTTGCGTTTAAGAGACAATCATAGATATAGTACGATAGACTAAATAAAAGGCCGTGAGCAACTACTAAAGCAAGCCAATATGTAATAATGTTTTAGCCTGTGCTACTGCACCTGTCATCGCTCGAAATCACTGAGCTAAACATTCTCGCTTAGCGTCGGATAGGATTTGTCGATGCTACCGGAGCGCCAGAGTAACGAAAACAGGAACATGAGGTAGTAATACGACGACGAGCGAAAACGAAAAACACGCAGAGCTACAGAAAGAGCGAAAACGAGTAATTGTGACTAAAAACAGCATTTAGCCAGTCGGAATGCACATTAGTTGACTTCATTGTTGGTTAATTCTACGTCACTATGATGACGATACGGTGCTGCTAGGATGGCCAGCAGACAGTAAACGATAACATCGAAAGACGCAGTTTTGCTTCTGCTAGCTGCTACAGGAAGCTTAGATTCGAGCACGACAGGTTCAAAACAATAACAAAAACAATAGCAAGCAGCAGCAACAACAACGACCACAACAACAGCAAGCAGCAGACCAGCAAACAAGCAGCAGCGCTGTTTAGCGTCCACGGCGATACGGTGCCCCTCACAGAAAATCCCTTCTTCCTTGTTTTCTTTCTCGGTAACTGGCTCGTTAATGGATATCGCTGCGCGGCCTGTTGGCCGACCGTCTTGCCGTGATCAGTGTTAGAAGACGACGATAGCTACTAGTTAAGCTTGCTGGTTCAGGCTATATGAAGTTGACGTCGGCCTGTGTTAACGTAGGACAGGGTACAGAAGAAGGCAAAGAATGTTAGAGGACGGACAAGTTTCTGTACCCTGACACGACACCGCGAACAGACAGTTGCTAATTCTTGAGGTGTCTACAGGGAAGCGTATTCTTTGCCGTGCGCTCGGTTCACAGCGAAGAGGGTTGAAGCAAAGCACAAACAGCTTTATAATACACTGTGATATGAGCTGATTTGCTGAATGGCTTTCCTTCGCGTCCAATGAGGGAACAGTGATGTCGCGCCTGCATAGGCTTTAGCCTTTTCGCTCTGGGTACGTTCGGCAGGCGAATTAGCAGCTTGACTTCGTTTCGCTGGAACTTTATATAAAATGTTCGAACTATCTGCAGGTACACGAAATAAATGCATCGAGTCACTTGGCGGCAGTAAATTTCTATAATAAAAATCTATAACTCCACACGCTTTTCTGTGCAGAGTGCTACAAATATGATACAGTGAACATTCGATCATTATATTACATAGTCATAAATTACATAGTAATGGATATAAGCCAGTTTCGAATCTGTTACTAGTCTGTAACATCTAAAATGAGTTCCTGACAATTACTGCTGATCGAGCTTCCAAATCATACAATATGTGTTATATGTTTATAAACAGCATTGATAGTATCAACGACTCCGGTCCCTCCGGATGCGTTCACAGAAAAATGTATACGAACCCGCATTACAATAGACTATGTGTAATTTTTAAACCCCCTTTTTGCTCTGAACGACCAGATGTTTTTCAATATCAACAACAAGAAGAGAACAGGCAATAAGGTCCAGCAGTGCCTTAAGATAATGTAGCGACAATTTCCAGTGCCGAAGGTGCACAATTGCGCCACAGGGTGCTAATCGTGACTGTTCTCACATACAGACGACGACAACAGCGCAGGAACGGAAATTGGTAAGAAGATGGCGATGACGAATCAAAGAACGCGCATACGGACGCGAGCCGTCCGTTGAATTTAAGTTTTTACGGTTCTGACCTTTCTGGACTCTCTAGTTAAAGTGCGAGTAACGGTGAAGTTGATTCTCTATGCCCTCAGACACTATAATATTACGTAGTCGTTCATGCGCGACATACTAAGTAGCAGTTGACAAGATCTGCAGTCAGTATTCGCTCGTCTCGCTTTCTCTCGTGCTTCGAGGAGACTACGCTGATTGTCATTGTTGTTGCTGCGTCCGCAACGGTGGAGAACTTTTACAATCTGTTTCGAATCACGGTACCTGTTTTACTATTTGCAGCTGAGTTGGTACGGGAATTCGACCGCTTATTTGCGCACGCTTTCATCCACTTTTGCTGAAAGCGTTGGGAAATTGCTACTTTAGCTCTATGAATTTCTCGATGTAGCCATGCAAAAGAAGAAAATCTGGCTCCGTGAAGTTTAAGGTAAAACGTTATTCAGGCATGCACGGACTGCCAGATCTTTGCAGTCGCTTATGACACATTGGCCTCTATCGCATCTTTCATATTATTTACTATTCGTGTATAAGATTACATTGTAGAATTTCCGAATCAGCTTTAAACGGCAATAACTGCAGATGGATGCGGCCATGACAGCGAAAGACGGCTTGCTCCATCGCTGTTCATTACGAGAACAGTGATCGTAAGCCGCGTGTGCAGCATTGGCCCCTGACTTGGACTTCGCCCGATAGCAGTTTGCATGCAGTGCAGAAGCGCTCGCGGCCGATCCAACTCCGGCAACGCATTTACACATCTTCTACAGACAATTCCGGATGGATACCTGACCCTTGCTTGCATTGTCCGCAGGGACGCGTATCTCGGCAGGACGGAGTCATTTTCTTTAAATGGCAAATAGAATCATGAATAGTATCGCATTCCCCTTGCTTTTATGTACTCATAGATTTTCTCCGTCTGTCTTTTCAGTGCTTCTGCTCTTTTGGCCCGGGCGCTGTGCGTCCGGGGCCTCTGAGTGACGCGGTTCGTCGAATATCACCAGCAGCAGACACGAGCGGCAGCACAAATGCAGTCGTGGCAGCGACTCACATCATTAGAATGATGCCGGTGATACTGGGTTACACAACAACGTGAGCTGGACACCGCCCATAGATGGCCAAAATGTCCCCTAACAGCACCCAGAAGAAATACGTTGTAGTAGCTGCTACCCGACAACTAATTTCCTCTCTTGATGAATACCGGCTTCACGAAAATAGCGTATTGTGCTTGTCCTGGAACGCATGTCAAGACATTCTGAAAACAAATGCATATTTGACCCCAGCATCAGGGACTTTCAAGGTAAAATCGTACTGCTCTAGCAACAAAGAGTACGCTGCAAATCCGTACGGAATGATATAAATGTAAAGAATATCTGTATGAAAAAAGACTAGGATCTTAGTTAATGTACTCTGATTCTAGAAATCGACGAGCGCAGCTTTGAAATCAATTGCTGTTGTCCTGTAGACCAAGTACTGGGATACTCGGTCTAAAGCATGACGGGCCTTTTCCAACAGGGAGGATCTCCGGGTTTTACCTCACCTTCATCTTGTCTATTTAATATCATTATTTCGTTCAACTGCTCTCAAAATAGACAACGTCTGAACCAGAGCTATCGTTTTTCATACTGAACATCCCCTAAAAAAAACTGTTCATATCTAGTTTCATCTGATAATGTTAACTGTAGCACTCATCTGACGACCCTATCAACTGGCACAGTTTGTTTCTACATTGGCAAATGTCTGACGAGCGTTCGACATCTCTGTGACTGATGGTGTAGTTTCGTTTGGATGTGGGTGATGTTGGCTTAAGTAATGGATAACGCCGAATCACTTCAACTCGGGCACGCCACATCAGAGATAACTTAAGCAACTTTGATTATCGTCGTGCCATATCAGAAACACATCATGATCGAGTCCCTCACGAATTGTATTCCGACATCGCTAGTCCATTTCTAAGCTAAGCTGCAACGCAAATTTCACAGTCGGTAACTGGCTCAACATGTTCGAAAAGGAAATTATAAAGCAAAGTAAATAAAAGCGAAATGGTCTCGTTTAAGCTCTCTTACAGCGAAGCCCAGTTCCAAAACCTCGTTGTGCTACACTGTCTTGGGTTGCCCATCATGCCAATTTACGTCACCTATCAATCGAACGTAGTGTATATAATTAATGATATTTTATGCCTGTCTCTCTTGGTCTGAGCTTGTAGTGTACACTTACCGTGGTCTGTTGCGCCGGTGATCTTAAAGGCAAATGTATAGCTGAAATTCGACACAAACTGGCCATTCTTTAGCCATCGCACCTGCGCAGGAGGGACTCCCGATGTCCGACAGGTCAAAATTCCATGTCCTCCTTTCGATACGACGCCTGACAGCGGTCCATGTGTAATTCGCGGAGCTGAATCGTCTGAAAACAGCAACAGCAACGGCAGCACGAGACACAGAATACGTTCACTATCAGAATATATCCGTGTATTATCGATTGGTATTTGAACGTGAACAAATTTTGGCCCATTATTTATTTATTTTTACAATTTGCCTATCTTCAGCTTGCAGATGTACACATACATACATATATATATA